TTTTTTTCTTAATATCGACTTTTTTATTTTTCAGATAAATTCAGTGTAGATGCATCTTAGATAATTTTACATAACAAGTTATCTTAAAGACCATAGACATGGATTGACGAGAGAGGGGAAGAGCAATTTCTATGCCTCTGCCTTAACTCTCCCTGCCTTCCTAGATCCGACCAGTGTTTTGGTTTCATCCACATACGCTTGTGAATCTTTGTTCTCAGTGATGAATTTTGTTAAGTCTCATAATAGGAGTAGCCTGACAGATGAAAGTAGTAGCTCCTGCATATCTCTTAAGGTCACGAAATATAAACCTGATGTAAAATCTCTGTCATCAGTGATGCAGCAGCAGAAGTCCCACTGATAATATCAAACGGAGTCATAAAGTTTTCTGTTGGACTATCAGTGTACATGTATACATTAAAAAATAAATGTATTTTTCATCATCATATACTGTGTTTTTGTCGCTCGAATGAATTTTATTATTTCTTCAAGGTTCTTCATATACGTACACCTTAAGAGATATCAAGTAGGTGTAACATGTTCTCAAAAAATTAGGGTTGGCACGCAGAAGAATTTTGAGTCAGAGATTTGCTGGTTTTGGCACGCACTCACAAAAAGGTTGCCCACCCCTGGCCTAGAGTCTAAGTGTCTCAGCTGTGCTGAGGACGCAGCGTCCTTCGGATCTGGGCACTGAGCTGTCCCAACGCTTTGTAAGTGAGTAATAAAAATTCTCCAAGGAACATGCTCGGGGTTAGCACTGCTGACCTCTGGGAAGCGAAGGGGCTTCCTCCTCCTCCTCCTTTTTTTAAACTTGGAAAACACCTGAATTTTTAGACATTCCACAGTGTGACTAGAGATGATACATCAAAATTCTCTCGACCAGGGTTCCTCAGCTTGGCACACTGACACTTGGAGCTGGATGATTCTGGGAGGACTGGGGGGGGGAGAGACCCTGTGTATCAGGGGGTGTTCAGCAGCATTCCTGGCCTCTACCCACTGGATGCCAGTTGTGACAACCCAACATGCCAACTGTCCCCTGGGGAGCAACATGGACCCTGGTGGAGAACCACTGTTCTGCCCAACAGATTAGCTACATTAAACACACGATTCCATGATGAGCACACGCGGTCATTACAGCTCGGGCCACCTGGGCCCCGTCGCCTTTCCCGAGCTCGGGAAGCATTTATGAGAACCCACGCCCATCACCAGGGCCTCTGAGGTTTCCCGAGTCCCACCCCAGCTGCCTCCACATCGCCCCCCGCCTTTCCTCTGTGCATCTGGTGACCTGCCTGGAGCTCCTCTGTGCGACTAGCTCACATTCAAGGTCAATTTAGAAAAAGAAATGACTCCTATTCTGATTTTTTTAAACACAGAAATAACTTTCAGAATCTCTCTTTTTTTTTTTCCCCTACCAGCTACTTTAAAAATCAGAAGTAAAACTGTTTTAGCCCTGGCCGGGTGGCTTGTTTGGTTGGAGCATCGTCCCATACACCCAAAGGTGGCAGGTTCAATCCCCGATCAGGGCACACATGGGAGACAACTGATGTTTCTCTTTCACATCGATATTTCTCTCTCTCTCTCTCTCTCTCTCTCTCTCTCTCTCTCTCCTTCCTCTCTCTAAACATCTCCTCAGGTGAGGATTGGAGAAGAAAAAAAAAGGTAAAACCTTTTTAGATGCTCACAGTTAAGTGAACACAGTAATACACTGGTCTGACGATGGTTTTAAGGAAGTTACATCTTAAGTATTTGAGCTTAATTGCTCCCGAATTCGTTCCTCCACGTCCTGAAGACAAATGCTCTCTGGTTTTGTCTCTTTGTTTCCTTCTTTTTTATGTCTTTGGCCACAAGAACCTTAGAGCGCCTTCTGGCCTAAAAGAGCGAAGCAGAACAGGACCCCTGGGTGCCTGGGCACAAGCATGAAGACAGCACAGGGCAGAGACTGTCTGTGTGGCCCCTACAAGGATGCTGACAAACTAGGTACCCCCATCACTCACTTGAAATTGACATTTAAAAGGCTTTCATCTGTGTTTATGGAGTTGCAAAGGACATCATTTCTGGCGCATAAATATTGGTGTGTTTACACAAAAACTGTTTGACCAGCCATTCATCTGTATCTAAACAGCACCGGGACTTGACTCCCACTGTGATCCCCCTAAAAATTCCTACCAGCGAAGCTGTGCGCTTATGTTCCTCGCGTGTTCCTGTCCGTGGGTTCTACTCTACACACACCGAATGCACAGGCGGCCTCTTCAAAAGTCGGAAAATCGGCATCATTCCTTCTCCTCTGGCTTGGATTTAATTACACTTCCCCATAGACTTTTACCCTCGAGCAACAGATTTTAGGCTAGAGAGTCTATTATTGAGGTCTTTACCACACCTCTCTTCAATATATTTATATACATTTCAATTCCATTTGTTAAAATTTCCTGTGAGCCTTAGGGCTCTAGCTGCTTAAGTAACAATCCTGGATTGAGTTACCATTACAACCATTAGAGAACAGATTCATAACAACAATATAATACATGATTTATCATCGTTAAAGTAAAATATGCTTGGAAATGCACATTTTCACGGATGAGACTGTTTTCTTGTTGTTTTTTTTCAACTGTTCCTCTACACGTGGATAAATACTAAGTAGTCGTTGCTCTAAGAAAACAGTGAGGCATCAATTTATTTCTAGTTTTCTTTGTCTTGTCTTTTATTTAACGGAAGATGGGGAAAGTAGATATTTTGTTATAATAATGTCATTTTGTTCTCTGCACTCCTTCCAAGTTACAGCCCCAAATCTCATTGTGGCCCATCGTGGACATTGCCTTTAAGGGCCTCTCTGCTAACAATTGGATTAGACTCACATCAAAGGGCAGGATAGCAGCGGAACTGCGCCAGGACCCTCGGGCAGTGATCGGCAATAGCATCCCGCACCTTCTCCTCACCGACACTCGGGGTCCCTCTGCTCCTGTGTGGAGACTGTGCTACCCAGACACACGGAAATCAGGCCAGAACGTGTCTTTCTTTTGTAAAATGGAAGAGGGCGACTGAGCAAGGGGCCTGGGAAAGGAGCGCCAGCCCTCAGTCAGGGCCTCTCTGGCCGGGCAGCTCTGAGAAAGAGGACAAAACCGGGAGCCGAGGACCCGGATCTGACTCTGTTAACACTCCGGGGGCACCTGTGTCACACGGGGCGTGTCTCCACGTGCCCTCAACAGAGCTGCTGACTCAGAGGACCTCTGAAGGGGGGGCGGAGGGCGGGGTGGGGGGAGGTCCCACCCCCAGGCTAGTGTTTGCACATCACAGGACTATTAAAACAGGAGGAAGGACTACATCCCGATCAACCAAAGGGAAAACCCCGGTCACACGACTTGTGATGGGACTCACGGCCGGAAAACACAGCACTGCCATGGCATGCTCAGACCCGAAATCGGAATCCCAATTCACCCAGCCTCCGGGTCTCACTCGGGGCTCGCAGGAGATGTGGGCTGGGTGTCGGATTATAGTAGGAATTATGGTTAATGCCATGGTGACTGTGCTTACAAAAATACAAGGCAGCCTGGCCGGCGTGGCTCAGTGGTTGAGTATGTTGACCTATGAACCAGGAGGTCACGGTTTGATTCCCAGTCAGGGCACATGCCTGGGTTGTGGGCTCCATCCCCGGTAGGGGCTGTGCAGGAGGCAGCCAATCAATGATTCCCTCATCACTGACGTTTCTCTCTCTCTCTCCCTCTCCCTTCCTCTATGAAATCAATAAAAATAAGTATTTTTCAAAAATACAAGGCATTCTGGGCGTGCTGAATTTACAGGTGCCATTACTTGTCTGAGATTCGCTGTTACAAACTACAGTGGGGCCTTGACTTAGGAGTGTCGCGACTAAGGAGTTTTTTGAGATACCAGCTGTCTCTCAACCGATTTTTTGCATTGAGTTGACAGAGTAATTTGAGTTAACGAGCTCCTTACGAATTAAACTCGTAAGTCAAGGCCCCACTGTATTCCAACCTCCCAAGAAAGTTGGGGGAAGACAGATGAAAGAGATCAGCATAATGTCAATAATGACTGAGGCCGGCTGGCGGGTACCTGGCGTGCATAGAACTCTCTCCACTTTTCTACATGTTTGAAGATGTCTATGTCAAAAGGTCTTTTACAGGGAAGAGGAGGAGAGAAAGAGAAGTTGAATTAGTGCCCACAAAGCCCTGTGCTAGGCCCTTCCCAAATGTTATCTTGTTTTACAAGTTCTCCGCCAGCTGCCCAACAAGCTCCTTTCGCTGTCTAAAGAGAGGCGGGGCCTTAACTACACCGGGAATAAACCGGGTTGGTGATAAGAGGGAGCCCCTAGCACCCGGACATCAGAGATGCATCCTGGTCACATGGGGAGAGACCGGAAAAACCCGTCAGCAGAGAAATGTCAGAGTCAACGCGCCTCCGTTTACATTCCTCCTATAACATGCCACTTACCCCTGCAGCGAAGCCAAGACTTCCATCTAGGATCCGCCTCTGCAAATGAAAACAGGACGTTTCAGTTTCTAAGGGATAATTCCTCGGACGACCAGGAACCATAACCCCTGAGAGAGCCGCGTGAATGAAGACCGGCCCACACCTGGATCAAATCCGCCTGAATCCGAGCCTTTATAAAATGGGCCAAAAATCAGCTGGGGGAAATGTTTAACCTCCCATCCATCCCACAGCCAATCAGTCTTCTTCCAGGGCGGCCCACCTGCACTGGCCCACGTGCTGCCTCTTCCTTTCTCTGTGAATTATGACTGTGGGCCTTTAGTGAGCCGCTGGCCTCCAAGATGGAAATTGGCAAGTGTTGGCGAGGAGCATGCAGACCAAACAAAACCCTCCCAGGCTGCCGGTGGGGGTGCACACTGGCACAGCCGCTGCAGGTGACCGCAGGCACACCCTGTGACCCAGCGGTGCCACTCCTGAGCCACCGCCTAACAGGAACACACACTCAGGTCACCAAGCACGTGTACAGAAATGCTCCCGGCAGCACTGTGTGTGAGAGCCGGAAACTAGAAACTACCCAAGTGGGTACATCATTAGGATATAGTCACACAACAGAATACCATACGGCAACGAGAACACACACAAAATACATATGGATGGAGTGCACAGTCAGTCAGGGACGGCCAGGACACTGGGAAATAAATGGGGCGAAATCAGCCAGACACCAAGAGTGCATACTACGTACCGTATTTTTCCAATTATAAGACACCCCCCCACTTTTCCAACCCAAAATTAAGAAATCAGTATTTTAAACATTTTACGGGTTTTCCTCTTAAGGCCTTCTTCTTTTTTGGCATCTTAAGGAGTTGTTCTTCCTGTTTTCTCCACTGTCTGATCATACGCTCAGTGGGAGGAGGTCCAAATTGTCTCTCTGCAGCTCTATTTCCACGCTCTCTTGCACAGCTGAGTACATTCAGTTTGAATTTTGCAGAGTAAGACAATCCCTTACCGGTGTTTATCTTTTTATTTTTTGACATCTTTATGGGCTCAGAATGCTCCGGTCCCTGTTGCATCTGCATACTCTCCATCTCCACCTCCAATTACGGCATCAGCTGACGTCGGTAACAATAAGGCTCATGATTGGAGGAAGCCTGTTTGACAAGGTATGGGCAGCTACGCACCCACACAGCTCCCTCCTCGGCTGACTTCCGTGTATAAGACGCCCCTAGATTTTCAGTCTAATGATTTTAGAAAAAAAAAGCATCTTATACACTGAAAAAATACGGTATGTGACCACTCCGTTTATATAATGTAGCAAAACAGAGAAAACAGCTCTGCTGCTGGAGGCCAGGAGAGGGATTGCCTTTCACTGGAGGTTGGGGTGTAGGTCGTGATTAAAGGGGAACCTTGCCCTAGCTGGTTTGGCTCAATGGATAGAGCATCGGCCCGCAGACTGAAGGGTCCTGGGTTCGATTCCGATCAAGGGCACGTACTTCGGTTGCAGTTTGATCCCCACCCCTGACCAATCAATGTGTCTCTCTCACATCAACGTTTCTCTCTCTCTGTCTCTCCCTCTGCCTTCCACTTTCTCTAAAAATCAATGAAAAAATATTCTCAGGTGAGGATTAACAAAAAAAGAAAAAGAGTGGCCTAAATTAGGGATATAATCTACAGCCATGTGACCACCTTACAGGCATGTTGAGGTGTTACTTATCCGACCCAGAAGGTTCCCATTAGGACTGGGTAACAAGAGCCGTCCGGTCGGTCATCTCCAGCCACGAGCAGCCTCGTCCCCCCTCTGGGTGACTATGGGGTAGATGGAAGGCTTTGACCCCGGTGAGCATACAAACAACCTTCTTCACTGAAGGCAGCTCCATGACATGAACCAAGTTAATCTAACCAAGTCATGTGATCAAGCCAGACAGATCTAATGAAGAAGTTAGGGAAACAGACACAACAAAGAAGCCAGGGAAATGCATCCTAGCAGCATTCATCTGGATCTTCAAAGGAGAAACATTGCACTTTTTTTAAGTCAATAAACCTGTTATTCCACTTTTAGATATTTATTTCAAGGAACTAATCACATGTGCTCAAAGATTTGTGTTCATCCTAACACTCTTCCTAAAAGCAAGGAAGAAAGGCCATAACCCAACGGCCTGGCAGTTGAGGACTGGGTACATCTTTAGGACGGGATACCAGATGGCCATTTAAGTAATCAAAATAATGAAAGTAATCAAAGAAACATTTAGGGATATGAGGGATGCTTACGATGTCAAATGAGAGAAGCTGGTTATGAAACATTATATACAATTTGATCCCTGTTCATTAAAGAAAATAGACACGTATATTACTTAAGCATACTCCAATACAACTGAACAAATCTGAGCAAATATGCTTTTTCCTTTCTACGAAGTAGGATTAGAAACTTTCTGAAGTATTTCTTTAAGCTTTTCTATACTTTGACAAGTTTTCTAGAATTAAAACATTATTTTTTTTTAAGTCAGGAAAACAAATGCTGAGTAAAGCTACACTGATGTTGTTAACAGAGGCTGATGTCTGAGTGTCTCCTCTCTCAAGTGCTCCTCACCGCACCCCCATGTCAGTTGAGTGAAAACGGGGGTTTGCGCAGGAGGACGGAGTGCACTCTGTGGACTCACACCTATTGCGGCCTTTGTCTCCCCAGGCCGTGCCCCTCCCCACTCTCACGCACACCTCCTGTGCAGAAGGGTTAGCAGAGCCCACCCGAGCCTACACCCTCCATCTCCTAACCCTAAGGGTGGGTCACTGTGCCTGCTTTACAGACCCAGCGACTTCTGCGGGACACCCGCTTCCTCCTGCAACTCTGAGATTCTGAGAATAGCGGTGGCCAGTGCCCAATAAGAACCTGAGTCTGCCCGGCCGGCATGGCTCAGTGGTTAAGCATCGACCTATGAACCAGGAGGTCACGGTTCAGATTCCTGGTCAGGACACATGCCCGGGTTGCAGGCTCCGTCCCCAGTAGGGGGTGTGCAGGAGGCAGTTGATCAATGATTCTCTCACGTCATTGATGTTTCTATCTCTCCCTCTCCCTTCCTCTCTGCAATCAATAAAAATATGTATGTTTTTTAAAAGGAACCCGAGTCTCTAATGGGTGTCCCTGGATAGACTCATGGAAATGGTCCTGGGGAAGGGCCACCGCGGGGCAGGGCGGCAGGAGCCTGGGCTCGCAGGTCTCCAGAGTCTGCCTGTCTTTCCTCGCTGAGCCTGCCGTGTGTCCTTTCACTGTCAGGAGCGTTAGCCACGGGGACAACCACATGCTGAGTCCTGTGGGTCCTTCCAGTGAGTCAGAGGACGAGTGGGTAGTCTCGGGGGACGGCCTGTATGCCTCCGCACAGGGAAAGGGCTCAGCAATTCCTCCTCCTGAACAGCTCCAAAGGGGAAGGGGCCCCTCTGGGATGGCTCCCCACTTCTGAAGAGCCCCACTTGCCACATGGGGCTGCGAGGTCCTACTCATCGCAGTGCTGCCTGTAACTCGGATCCTGATAGTCAGCTAGACCCAGTGAGAGCATCTCAGGTCTCAGCTTCTCAAAGCAAAAGAAACTGGTAGAGGTGACAACCTGGGCTGTTCTGCCCCAGGGAGCCCAGGAGCAGGACCGGGAGGGGTCAGGTAACCTGGTACCCTGTCCTCTGGCCCCTGGAGGCTCCCATTCTGGGACTGGCTTTCGAATGTTTCACTACCTGTGGACAGTAACCTGGGAGCCAGGCTGTGTGCTGGCCTCCAGCCCTCCTGCTGGGGAGGGAGGAGGTGCAGGGGGAGGTCTGATCTTATCGCTGACATGGATACCTGCTGAACTGGTCTCTAACACCACCATGACTCGCACGCCAACTTCCCAGACACGGTTTAGTTTCCAGATCCGCCTCACAGCGTGTTTAACTAGATCTGAAATCACTGACGCCTTAGCACACCTACAATTTCGAAGATTGCCGTCACCAAGTGATCCGTGGATGGCGCTGGGCCAGGGGATGGAGGGAGTAGAGGGTTGAAGAAGAGTAAGGAATTCAGGCCCAGGAGGTGGGCATGGGCTGGGGAGGAGAGAGGTGGGGCATGTGGAATGGGGGAGAGGGGGAATGGGTTCTGGGTGAGGGTGTGGTGAAAGGGGTATGTGTGGAGGGATGGGAGTGTGGGAGGGATAGAAGGGGAGGGACAGATGTGAAGGTACAGGGGTGCATGAGTGGGTAGGGGCATAAGGCTGAGTAAAAACAGGTGGGGGTGGGTGGACAGGCGTGGGGTCTGTAGGCCATGGTGAGGCCGGTCTGAGTGTATTTATCCCAAAGGGGGTGGCGGAGGGAATGAGGAGGCCTGGATTTGGAGTGAGAGAGGGGGGGACAGATACCCTTCCTCCCCCCACCGTCTCTCCAATCATCCCAGCGAACTCAAGGCCATAGGGCAGGGCAGTTACCCCTCCCCCACCCCCCTACTGTTCTTCAGCGCGCACTGCCACCTGCACCAGGCCTGGGAGGAACTGATGGGGGACAGAAACCGGGCAGGGGCTCCAGGAGGCTGAATCCCTTGCCTCTCGCTCCCCACTCCCTGGAGTCAGGGGGGAGAAGCAAGTGATCAGGGACACCTGCTCTCCAGGCCTGGGAGGGACAGGGAGGGCAAATGAGAGGAGAGAACAGCATCACCCACAACCCGGAGGCGTGGCACTGTGTGGGCGCAGGTGCTCCACAGCCTGCTGAGAGTCCCATGAACTTCCAGAACCCAAACAGGACGACTCACCTGCCCACTAGAGAATATGAACACCAGAGCCGCCCCGGCGGCCGTCAGCCCCCAGGTGAAGAGGGTCCCCAGCAAGGCCTGGAACACAGCGCTGTGGCCTCGGAGCATGCTGGATACGGCTGTGTGCAGAGGAGCGAGAGGGTCAGTGCCCGAGGTGCCCGCGGTCCCTTTGGGTGACTCGCACGTGTTCTGAGTTCTGACCCCCTCCGCCTGAGCTGGCGTGTCTGGGCTGGTGTATGCACCTGTCCACCACGCATCCCTCCGTGAAATCATCTAACTCTGGAAGCAGAGATGTGGGGACACTGAGGAGACCATGAACGAGGTGACGACACTGGGAAACAGTTCCCGAGAAGCTCCAAGAATGTGGATTATGAGCTGGAGGAAGGGAGGGTCTGCGTGCGGCCTGCCCGCCCACTCTGCCTGTTCCTCCTGCCCTTGCAATCTGATCAAGGTGCATGTGTTACCATCCAGCTCCCGGGAAGTCCGGGCCCCAGGCGTGGGGTCTGTAGGCCCATGGTGAGGCGGGTCTGAGTGTGTCTTGATTAGAATCATCAGTTCTCTCTTCTCCAAATACAGGTGACTAGCTCAGGTTCCTTCTAGAAAGTCATCCACTAAGCCCTGACCCAACCTTCCACAGCTCCGGTGGCCTGCCAAGGGCACACTCCCCCGACTGACCTTCAACAAGCCCACGGACAATTCAAGCCTGTGTTTCCATCACCGGGATGCCTTGCGTGGGCACCAGCCCAACCGAATTATTGATGGCACCTGGGACAAGCCCCCGTGGTCCTGCCCCAAGTCTCTCTTCACATGGTTCCTTCCCAGAATCCCTTCTTTCCCAACCTCTACCATCGCATCCAGGGTACCTTCTGTGGCCCACCTACTGCCAACTTCGATTCCACGCTTGCCGATCCTCCACTCCCGTCCCTGCACGCATCTTTGGTGCCTCCTTCATCTTTCACATCATTAGCTGCCTAAGAATAGGAATGATGCTTTTCCACATTTGGCACCCCGTACATACTAGTAAGGCTCTCTGGCACCCGGAAAATGCTCGCCGAATTACTTATGGCACCGTGGACAAGCTTATCTAAATAGGACCCTCAGTGAGGACCAGGAAAGGGAGCCATCAGTGACATGGCCCCCAGCCAACTGCCGAAGCTGCAGTTACACCACTGCCCACCGAGGGACAGAAGGGAAGGACCATCCGCGCTTGCGTTTGCTCGGGGAGCCTCCTCTGGACTTGAGCGTGTCGTCAGTCCCCGCTCTGCGATGACAGGGAACCGGCCTCTCGCTGCGGAAAGTTACGGGGCGGAGGAACCCACGTGCTGAAAAGCCCTGTGTTCTGCACACAAACATCGGGGCCCAGGGCCGCCTCTCAAAGGGCCCATTCAGCTCCTCCCTGGTCTTCCAGCTCCCACAGGGCTGGGCTCGGCCCCACGGGGCTCAGCTGCCAGGCCCGGAAACCCTGCGCCAAAGATGCTGCCTCTCTCTACTGACCCTGGGAGGAAACTCTGACGGAGGGTGTAAGGGGCCCGTGGGCCACGGGGCTCAGCAGCATAACCAGGACTCAACCCCAGGAAGGCTGTGGGTCCAGGGGAGCCCCGTGAGCCCAGGTGAGGAAACCGGGGCCAGGAAACCTCCAAGTCAGTCGGCACCTATAGATTCAGACTGTGTCCCCGCAGCCTAAATGGAACTCAGGATAGCGACTGTCCAAACAAAGAAAAAGAAACTGGAACAACTTCAAGACCCAGAGTTCAGGAAGTGATTCCCCTGCCCCGGGAGGCCTGGCCAGGCCCGCGGAGAGTCCCGAGGGAACAAAGACTTTCTCCAGCAGGTAGACCAGTAACTGTGGGGACAGGGCGTGTCCGCGCCCCGCACCTCAACAGCACCTTCCACATTGGCGCTCCGTCTTCCTGGGAGCTGGATGCTAAGTCATGACCCTTGATTAGACTGCAAGGGGGGTATTCTCTGCTCACCCCAACTTTAAAGGTGCCCACACCACCCAGGGGTGTGCACTCTCCTACAGTCAGGGTTAGGGGTGGGCTGATCGGGATTTCTTTCTTTTCTCTCCTTGTTGTTGCCCTGCTTCCGAGAGTCGGCTGCAAGATGCTGGCCAGCTGCAGATGTGGAAGGGCACTTAGGGGAAGTGCACACAGCGCCGGGCCCCGCAGGGGGGTCCACAGAAGTGACTGGGGCTTGGGCTGCTGTGACTGGAACGGTGTGGTCGGCAGAGCCCCTGACCCCGGGGAGTGGGTTGGAAATGCACAATCCCAGGCCGGCTGCACCTGAACCAGAGTCCCGGTCAAGTTCAGGAGGCGCACTGACCCCCAGGGCGGGTGAAGGGGGCCCAGAGCAGCCGGAATCACAGCCACCTGGGCTCCCAGGACCGCAGGGTCCCCGCCGTGAAGCTGGGTGAGGGGGTCCTGGAGAACCGGCACAGGGAGGCAGGTCCACACCCTCCAGCTGGCCCCCTTCTCCCTCCTCTGCCACCTGCCGACGCCGCCGGCTTCCCTCCAGCCCCCTCCGGTCCCCAGGGCACTCCCTTCCCAACTCCGCGGGGCCTGCCAAGTCCCACGCG